GTAAAAATTAGTGGACAATGACACTGGGTCAGGAGACTCAGGCAAAAATGAATAGAAATGCTCTCTTGCTGAAAATAATCAAGGTAGCCCTTCAAGTCTGAGCACTGCTCTCCAGAGAAACTGTGGGATTATAACTGTCAATGTCTATGCAAATACTTTTCACTTCTACTCTCTTGCTGTCATATACTAGAGCTATGATGTTACTCCAGTGATACCCTTTTACTATCTCTTTGCTGTTTTGATACCCTTGAGATCATTGTAATGAGATGATTTGGCAACAAGTTCTTTGGGAGGATTTTCGTTTCCTTCCCTTCGTGTTATTTTTATTCATTTTATTATTTTTTTAAAATTGTAATTTATTGAGATTCTATGATTTACAATACTTTAATGATGGTTTCTCATGCACAAAATTCTAACAGCACACCCAACACCAGTTACCCACCTCCCTCCCCTAAGGACCTCAACGCCACTTCCATTCAATCCCCCATCACCACCACCAACTCAATTTTGTAGATCAGTTTATGGAGGCATTTTATTGGCATTATTGAAAATCAGCATGACTTTCCTCTTACAGTAAATGTATAAAATGTGAATTTAAATTGGTGGAAAGTGATTTGCATTAGCTTGGGTAAAGAATGTGTATGCTATTTCTATATCAAACTACCCAGAAATATTTCTTTTTTTATTACTACTTCTAGGAGATGACACACTGAGGGACAATAAGGTTTCTGGATTCATTGTCAAGTGAAATGCATGCTGAGTGCTGGGGTCTCCTACGCTGCTGGAGAATTACTACAAAAGTGTAACTAAGTGTTTGAAGGAAAAATAGTTATCATTTCTTGAACACTTACCATGTGGTAGGAACCATACTAAGCACATTTCTGTATCCCTTCATTGATTCCATGCATTATACCCATTTATGTCACCGAGACTTGTAATATTAGACACAGATAACATGAATCTGACAGACTCTGAAGCCCACTATTTTAATTGTTCTACCACTTCATCTCCTCCTTTCAAGCTATCTTGGCTTCTCCTTTTCCTAGAAGAGTTTCTGGAAGGAAAATTTATGGGTGTCCCAATTCAAATTCCTCGGATTTTCTCCATAGGAACCTGATAATGAGGATTATCCAAAGCAGGTGAAAAGCTGACTTCCTTTTGGCTACACCCTGAAGGTCTTTTCCACTTATGAAGCAAGATATATAGAGCACTAATGGTCATTAGACCACAGAATCAATGTCCCAAACCTAGAATTGTGTAAGCCTTAGAAAGTCACCTGATTTGTTCAGCCTCAATAATGTCTTGGAAAGTCATTTGATTCTTTCAGCCTTAATAATGTCACCTATAGAATGGAAATGGTGACACCATAATTGTACAAAGGTTAGTAATGACTACATTACTCTCCTGACTTATTTTCCCTTTCTGTTAGAACCATTTGAGTCTAAGATATATGAAGCAGTGTTCTAGGTGCACAATTATGCATGTACTCTTGCCCTTTATAGTGTGGCAAACACTATTAGTAGTACCTGAGGATATTTTCCCCAGTAGGAATTTATTTTTTTCTCTTTTACTTGTCTTTGAATTACCTTTATTTTTCTTTTCTGGATTACTTCAGACATTACTTTGGCAGCTCCTTCAGGTATTTTTTTTCCATTTATGACTATTACCGAAAATCATTAAATTTCTTTTAATCTCTCAGTCCTTATCATCTAATTACATGCCAGTTCTCATACAAACTAATTTAATCTTATATTCCACAACATATCTAGAATTTTTTATTTTCCCTATTTTTACTCTTAGAATTCTCTCTATCTGAAAGAACCGTTATATCTGTCTCCAACAATGTCTATTATCATTAAGCCTGACTCAAATGCCATCTTTTCCTTGAAGTTCCCAACAATGGAATTTTTAATTGGCTTATCATACATAAGAACAATACTAAAATGATTGTTTTATACTTGCAGTGCTGCTTCACCAAATCCTTTCACCATTGTCTCAATTCCCCAGTCCCTTTAGTCTCCTTAGTTCCCAGTTACATAAATTATTTCTCAGGATCTGTTTTCACTGGGTTTAAACCTCTTTCTGTGTTTCTTTTTATTCCACATATAACCAGATCATCTGCCTGTATAATATTTTTTTCTGACTCACTTCACTTTGCATGGAACCCTCCAGTTCTATCCTCATTTAGAGTTAATTTCCTTCGTCTCTGTTTCTACAGAAATGTGTTTTGCTCTTCTGTTCCATGTTTCCACCCATAAACAAATCTGAGGAATTGTTGTTTCCTTTGCCATTCTTACTGAATTTGAATTTATTATTGTAGGCACTTTTTATCTTTGCATTTATGTTTACAATAATTGTCATTATTATTATATTTTAAGCATTTTGAGTACAAAATCCAGTCTTGTCCATGGCCAAAAGAAAGTAGCAGAGGAGTGTGAGAGTGATAGAGGTAAGATTAAGGGCTCTTCATACAAGTCTAAAACTTGCCTATATGAAATACTAACTCTATAACCTAGGGTTAGTTACTTCAACTTTGTAGTCTAAAATTTTCTCACCAGTACCTACAACATTGGAATCTCATGAAAATTAAATGAGATATTCCAGGTACTGGCGAAATAGTATAATGGATAGGGTGTTTTCCTTGCACATGGCTGAACTGGGTTTGATCTCTGGCATCCCATTGGGCCCCATGAGCACGGCCAGTAGTAATTCCTGAGTGCAGAGCTTGAAGTAACCCCTGAGTACTTGGGCTCAAGTATTGTGCATATGCAAATACTCTTACACACACACACACACACACACACACAAGATATTCCATGTAAAGTGCTTAGGAAATATAGCATAGGCATATTGTAGGTGCTTAATAGATGCTATTTGCAATGCCTATAATGATTTCTACATAAATTTAATACTTCAACATTTATTGAGTTCTGTATCATTTGGTGCAAGTGTTGTTAAAAAGTAGCATGGCTGGTTGACTTAACCACCAGATATTTACTTCTTCATATTCTGGATTCTCAGAAGATCATAGTGCCAGTCAGTTCATATCCTAGTGGGCAATCTCTTTTTTGATGACCACTTACTTATTGTTTCCTTGCATGGAAACAATAGAGCAATCCATTTCCTTTCTTCTTTTTATAAAGTCACCAATCTCATCCTGAAGTTTCCACATACATGCCCTCATCTAACACTAATATCCTTTCCATTTCCAAATATCCTCACAAAAATTTGTATGTCTACAACTGCACCTCATGGTGTTTCACTAATAAAAACTAAAAATAAAAAAAAAAAACAAATATCCTCACAAACACGAGTTAGTGGTTGGGAATTTGCTTTTTTTTTTTTTTAATTTAATCACTGTGAGATAAACCATCACAAAGCTATTCATGGTTGGGTTTCAATCATACAATGTTCTAACATGAATCCCTCCACCAGTCTACACTTTCCACAACCAATGTCTCCAGTTTCCCATCAAAACCCCCAACACCTCACCCCACAGCCATCTGCCTCTATGGTAGGCACCTTTCTTCTTGCTCACTCTCTCTTTCTCCTTTTGTCCATTATAGTTTGCAACTGGTTGGTGGCTTTAGGTTGTGGATGTGATTGCCAGGGCTTCAGGAATTATAGGGAAGTGAGGGGAAGTAGCTCATCCCCACCGCAGGACAGCCTGAAATTTCAGTCACAAAACCTGCATACTAGAATTTTCAGCAGATTCACGGTGATTTAATTTTAAAAAATGGGTTTTAAGATAGAGAAAGGAGATCACAAGCCCAGGAATGTGGGCTTGATTGAATGCTTGCATCTTTCATCCCTCAGCATTCATATGGCAACTCCTAACCCCCAAAGTACAGGGAGAAAAGGCCACAAAGACTGAAACCTGACAGTTGGTTTACTGTCCTAATAAAGTTTTAAGTTTTACATTTACAGTTCCCTCAGGGACAGAATCATAAAAGGGGTGGAAATAGGATAAAAGTTCTCTTTTCCCTATAGAAAACAATTCAAAGGAAGAGACAGAGACAGTTTCATTAGTGTTTATTAGTTACAATTAAATGCACTCTTTGCTTTGCCCATGTTCTACACATCTACTCTCAGGAGAGTGAGCCCTAGTCAAGGACAGAAATTGGATCTCAGTGTTTCTGAAACAAAAAAACTTTATTTTTCTTCTCCTTGACAAGATAGGAAAGATCATGTGATAAGAATTCTTGAGCAGGCAACAGCACCCTCCCAATTAGGGACTAATGGGAGTGAGAAAAAGGATTGCTAAAGTAAACTAAAGTAAACTTGAGAAACTACAGACCCATCCATCTTAATTGTTTGCCTTTGCAACATCTGGCAGGTGCCGGGGAGAAGAGGAAGCCCCTCTCCTCCTTTTTTCTCCATGCATTCTAATCTGGTGCCCAGTCTAGGACAGCACCCCTGAGCCATGTTCAGTCCATTACTTCCAGCTTGTTCTAGTAAGCCCCACCAGAAACCAAAGGGTTTTCACCGCCCTTTGTTGGGCAGTCTATGGCATGTGCCACCAAATCAGAACCTCTATCTTGGAGAAGCCAGGCAATCGCCTCTCTTTTCTAGGTGGTTGGGATGTGTGGACCTCGTGAGCCTCGATTCCACGCATTCTCATCTGGTGAATTCCTCTCTCATACTCTCAGACTTTGCAGAGGTCAGATAAATTATGCAAGGCCCCAGGGGGCCTTCCACCCTGCCCATCCATTCCCTACCTCTCTCCCCTCCAGCGAGATGACCCTAGAGGCCACCTGACCGGTCTGGCTCAAAGAGCTGCGGTTCCCGAGGCGGCCGCCAGGGGGGATCCCCACTCGGCGCCCCCGCGCCACCGCCACACGCCGGGTGCCGCTGGGGGCTACTCGGGAGCGGCGGCGGCTGCAGCTGGAGCCCGGAGCCCGCTCGCCCGCCGGCTCTCCCGGAACCGCCAGCGCTGGCCCGGGACTCGGTCGCGTGGCCTTGCCAGCGTCGCCCCTCCTGCCCCGAGCTCTCCCCACGATCTTCCTCTAGCGCCACCCGCAGCGGATCAGAAACGTTGGGGCCCCGCGGCTGAAGGTAAACTCCTCTCGGTGAGTAAGAACTGGGAGCCGCGAGGGGAGCTGGCGCAGCTCGCAGCTGCCGGCTTCTGGCCGCGCCCTGGGGAGGGCCGGTTGGGGGGGGGGGGGCGCTGAGATGCGGGGCGCACCTGGGGGCTGGCGCCACCGGGAACGTGGATGCGGGAGCTGGCCGAACCCCGGCCTTCCGGGATTGGAGGGCGTCTCGGACCCTTGCCCGCGACTCGCGCGCCCTTTCCGGGCAGGCAGGAGCGTGCAGTCCCCACCCCAGGCCCCCGGGGCCTGGGTGAAGAAATACAGACTTACGCACCGGTGCCATCCCTCTGCTTTGGGGCCACCCGTGTGTCTGGGAGTCAGGCGCCGAGGGCTGCAGGGGATCGGGGTGTGGTCGGGGGGCTGTCCTGGGGAGCGGGAAGACAAACTTTGGCGCAAGTGCGCTCGGGCTGAGGCGCGGTGCTCCGCCCGCTGGTGCCCGGGACCCCGGACGCTTCTGGGAGGGAGAGAGCGTGTCAAGAACTTGCAGATCCCGTGGCACCCTGCGCCCAACAACTGTCAAACGTGTGGGATCGCTGCACTAGGAAAGGGGCGAAAACCCTGCAACTTTGCTTCGGATCTCGCCACCTCGCATTTTATCTAGCCTCCCCCCGCTTTCCCCCGCCCTGGCGCCAGGCAAGTGAGTGCCGAAATCCCACCCCGCCACCCCGACTCCTCGGCATCTCCCTTCGCCTACCTTCCTGAACTCCTCCCCAGACGCCCTCTTTTCTCCGGGGACCACGCGACTGAGGTCGTGGAGAAGGGCCTTTTGTTCCCCCACCCCCATTGTTTGCCTTTGCAACATCTGGCAGGCGCCCGGGAGAAGAGGAAGCCCCTCTCCTCCTTTTTTCTCCATGCATTCTAATCTGGTGCCCCTCTGAACCCCCCAGTCTAGGACAGCACCCCTGGCCAGTTCCTGGGGGACCCCGGCGGGACCCGAGGAGGCCGCCCCACCCGGGTCTGCTGTCCCAGGGCGGGGAGAAAGTTGTTTACCCGCCCTCGGCCGTGTGGCCCTGGGCGCATTGCTCAGATCTTATCCCCGAGCTGCACAGCGCACCCAGCCCAGAGAGGGTGTCGCTTTGGAGAGCTTGCAGGCGAGGTTCCGACCGCGACCCAGAGGGTTTCTTGGTTCGCTCTCAGCGGGTTTCAGGCTCAGGGTTAAGGGCGTGGAGACCGGGCTGCAGCCAGGGCAGTGGCATGGCATCAGGACACTTCTTCGTTACAGAGTTTGCAAGAGCTGGAGAGCGAGCATAGTGGCTTTAAAGAGAATGCAGACTGAAATAACGGGGGAAGCCTGAGACTTAGCTCGCAAATTGGGGCGCGCAAATAGAATTTTGCTCACCGAAAGTGGTTACCCCTCCCAAGTCCCCGCTCCTCATTTAGCAAATAGCGGACCCGCAGGGCAAAGCGCACGCGCCGCCGCCGGAGTTCACGTGAAGGTGGGGACTGACCCTCAGGCTCCTCAGTGTAGACTGAAGATTTTCCTGTCTTGCCTCACAAGTTTAGTTTTACCCCCTCGCATTAACTTCCTAGAGAGTTCTTGGGTTATTTATTAAAGATCTAGGGCCAGAGCAAATCAGTCACCCTGAAAAAAAAAAAAGGCAGGGTCCCCAGATGGTGCCTGGATAGTTAGTCACTTGGAAGAGGTGGCCGAGCCTGTGCACCTGTGGGAACCTATACTTCCGCATAGCCTTGCATATAACCGGTATTGCCAGCTTTTTCTCTTGGACACCAAATCGGTCCCTTGTCCAAAGAGACTATTACTTTCTTTTTATCCTCCACCTGTGATCCCACCTCCCCACCTCCAACCTAGGAGAAGGAAAAGCTTCGCTCCAACATTTTAAATGGACTCTCTGAACCTGGCTTTGCACTATCATTCTAGCAGCGTTCCCACAACCCCACTTAACAGAGCCATTGAGCTTCTATTTAAGAACAAACCCAGGGCAGCGGGAGTGGGGGTGGGGTGGGGAGGGAGGGGGGCATGAATCTGTAATGTGGAAAAGGAACATTTTCTCCTGTCCATTCTGGGTGTTATCAGTGGGACCAGAAAAAGAAAAGGGCAAAATTTTTGAAGCACTAGAAGGCACTTTGCAAAGGTTTCACTGTGAAAATATTCTCCAAGGAAGGATTCTTTTGAAATTTAGCAGCAAGAGAGAAGCAAGAGGGACTGGGTAGTTCTAGAAGTGTCCAAAGGCATCATTAACAAGGGAAAGGGCAATGTATGTTCCAGCCTGCCTCAGGAAGGAAAACAGAAATAATAGTGGAAAAATAGCTGTAGAGCTATTCTACAGTTTCTTAAAAAAAAATCCCTCTAATAATCAGGATAGAATAAATACAAATAGAGAAAGATAAAATGAGAAAAGGGAAGTTCCAAACATGGTTTTTGTAATCATCCAATTAATTTTTAGAACATGTTCTGTAGAGAGGGTACTTAGGTTAAAGGAGTTAATACAAAATATCATCAGGGTGTTTAAGATGGTCAAAAACCTGCCGATTTATCCTCTACTCAACAATATCCTGGAGGATTTTTCCAAATACCTTGCAGCCTGCTCACACTCTAATATAAACTTAATATAAACTTTCTTTTTCATCACTGTCCTCCTGATGGGAGTATATCTTAATATTTTATTTTGAATTCTTTAATTACCAATGTAAGTCAACATTTTTTTATCTGTTGGTATTTCTTCCTCTGTGATATCTCTTACACACATACATATGCACACATATACATTTTTGGGGTCTCATCTGGTGATGCTCAGGAATCACTCCTGGCAGACTTAGAGGACCATATGGGGTGCTGGAGATTGAACGTGATTTGATCATGTGCAAGGCAAGCTCCCTATACGCTGTGCAATCTCTCCAGATTGCGATATTTTGCAATAAAATATTATCAATATTTTTAGTGGGACTGTTCTCCTTTTTCTGCCTGGGAATATACTTTAAAAAACCATACTGTTGTAACACTGTTGTAACTTCTGTTCCTATCTTACCATCAGTCCCTAATGATCTGAAGTACAAATGCTTTTCCCTCTTTTTTGCATAGCAAACGTTTGGCAGGACTCTAAACACACAATACTAAAGTGACCAACATGATCCCATTAGAAATCAGGATTCTACAAAGGTTTTTTTTTGAGAGACATTCATAGAAAACACTAAACATTTCCTTTCTTTACAGTAGTTAAATGATTCAACTCCTTTATAACTTGTAGCACTGTCCTCCTGTTTTTCATTGATATGCTCCAGTGGGCACCAGTAACATCTCCGTTGTGAGACTTGTTGTTACTGTTTTTGGCATATTGAATACACCACAAGGAGCTTGCCAGGCTCTCCTGTGTGGGCGGGATACTCTCCGTAGCTTGCCGGGTTCTCTGAGAGGGACGGAGAAATCGAACCAGGTCAGCCACATGCAAGGCAAACTCCCCACGTGCTGTGCTATATCTCCAGCCCTTATAACTTGTAATACACTTTTTTGTTTAGAAAACTGTTGATGAATATTTATTAAATGACATACTAATTCATTTATTGTTTGACTACTGATAACCACATACCGTAATCTACAATTTTTTCTTATTTTATAAAGTTTAGCTATTAATTTATTAAAGTAATATCAATTTACTTGAGAATAAATGTATGCATTAGGGATGCCGCACCTATCACCAAAATGCTTATAAGCCTCAACCACAGTCCATAAGATCCTTCCTTTTCACTTAGTGCCAGGACTTAAATCCAAGAACTCTCATATTTGAGGCAAGCTGCCCTAATTTTTTCTTTTTGTTTCTTTCTTTCCTTTTTTTGTTTCTTTCCTCTTTCTCTCCCTTCCTTCCTTCCTTCCTTCCTTCCTTCCTTCCTTCCTTCCTTCCTTCCTTCCTTTCTTTCTTTCTTTCTTTCTTTCTTTCTTTCTTTCTTTCTTTCTTTCATTGAATTGCCATGAGTTACAATTGCAAAGCTTTCCTGTTCGAGTTTCACTCATATAATGATCAAACACCCATCCCTCCACCAGTGTACATTTTCCATTTTCCACCACCAATGTCCCCAGTATCCCTCCCTCAACCACTAGTGCCACCCCTCCCGCTGCCTCTATGGCAAACAATTTCCCTCATACTTTCTCTCTACTTTTGGGCATTATGGTTTGCAATACGGAATCTGAGAGGCCATCATGTTTGGTCTTTTATCTACTTTCGAGGCTGCTCCTTTTTAAGCCACATCCTCAACCCATTTTTCTTGTTTTAAACATTTCACTTTTTTCTCTAAGTTTGGCTACATTGTTTGAGTGCTGCACTTGGATGAATCTTTAATTTTAGCAGTTTAGTAGCATGCTCCATCCTAGAGAGGTCTCCCAGGAGGCTGAAATAGGTACATTTCACCTTCTTTTGTGCATTTGTGTAGCCGCATTCCATTAATTCTTGACTGAAGCTAGCTGATTCTGAAATGACAGGAAGAGAAGATTCATTTCAGCTGAATGATAAATCAATACAAATGAAGGACCAAAAATTATTTCAAAAACATAAGTATATTAAAGTGTCATGTATTATTAGGATGACTGTTTTACTTAATGGATAAAGAGTGGTCTTCTGGTTGGGAAAATCTAATGTTAAATTATTTCATAATGTGATCATTGACATGTCATTTCAGCCATACTCTTACCCACATATGCACACTCCCTCTTACATGTACAGGCATCCCAGTAAAAAGCAGAGCCCACTTTTTTATGTAGTCAAACAATATGCATTAGGAATAAATAGTGCTCTCTACTTTAGAATTAGAGACTTACAAAGGTTGAATGAGAATTTAGGGGTTGTTTAACTCAGTCATTCATTATCACTGGGGATCTTCAGTCTATTAAAGTGCCAGTTTACAAACTGCATCATTTCAAACAAATCAAATAGTACCATTATTCAACTTTTTTTGTGGGTGGAGTATGAGGGGGTGCAATAAGGGAAGTATTATAAGCTTTTTTTAAAACTTGCTTAAATTTCACAAGGAAAACTGCTGAACTTCCAGAAAATGTTCACAAGGAAAATCGATAGGAAGAGTAACAATTTTGTAATACAAAGGGAGGATCCAAGTCCTCTAGTAGTTGACTTGATAAAGTTCAGAACTGGTAGAGCTGAACTAGTACAAAATAGCAAAAGGAAAGAGGAAAAGAAAGTAGAAGATGGAAATGGTATCTTGCTCCTTTTTAAATGTTCATTAAGATTTCTTGAAGACTCTTGTCACCCAGGGGATGGTTTGGCATTGCCTCCCTGGTCATCTCTCTACTCCAAACTAGATAAATGTGGTTAACGTTGCAAGATCAACTGAAGAGTCGGGAAGCATTAATGCCACCATTAACCTGATGAAGGACAGGCTTATCAGATAGTACAATACTTCTTAAAAAGAAAATGAAGGAGGTAATTTAGGATAGAAATTGAATTTCAATTTATAAAACATACCTTATTTCCTCCTGAGATATGTTGCGAATTTCTGCAAGTGGTAGAAACATCTTCTCATTTCCACAAGAACTATCTCCCAGGCACAATGACTATATTTCTTATCTTTTAAGAAATTGTTTAACTTCTTAAAGTATCTCCTCAGTTCTAGGTTGCTGGGATGCAGGACCATAGCTCCTGGTTGTCTAATTGTATCTTCCTTTTCTTTCAAGATTTCATTTTCTTTCTCTTCTTCCATGCAGTATTCTAGGTACTGCAATTTCCTATTAAGTCCAATTTGAATTTGATCCAGGTCTCTCTCTTCCAAAGAGGATTTGTAGGTATACTGATAGAAGATGTTGAAGGCCTGTATGACCATTTCGTAGATAGTTTCTGTGATGTCCCTTTTCGTAGACTGGGGTTGTGAAAAGATTTCATGTGGCAGCTCAAAAGCTTTGATTTCTCCAAGACATTCTAGAGGAAATGAATTGCTCATACTGTTCAGAACTCTCATATTTTGCCAGGTCATTCTCCTCAGGTGAACATGTAGGAAGTTACAGTCTAGAGAGAGTATGCCAGTGATGAACAGACTTATAAAGTATACACACCAAAGAGACATTTGAATAATACTAGGATTGGCCCTCATTTTTTTTTTTGTCTATTTCCTGACCTAAAAAACTCATCAGATTCAAGTCTGACAATGATGTTTTAGATCTTGAGTATTTATACACCTGAATACCTTCGCTGGGGAGGAGTTTTCTTATTTCTCAATGTAAGGGTTTCAACCCCTTTGCCTTTGAGGCTTGGGAAAAAAAAACCCTTTAGGTGACTATGTTGTTCTTGAAAGAGATATCAAAATATATCTTTTATTTATTTATTTTTTACTAAAGTGAGCAAAACATTACCATTGCCTTAGATCCCCATATGATCCATTCTGGTACTATAGAATCACCATTACGAGTAATGCAGAGTACAAAAGGAAGAACTGAAAATCGTGTGTCAGTAAACTCACTTATTCACGCACTCAAATCTATTACAAATAGGAAAGCAATCCCCTCCCCCACTCCACAAGAAAATATTTTGTTAAACCTGATCCTGTAATCAAACATTTTCTCACATTGATTTAGTCAAAACTTAACCAAATGACTATCATTTACTAAGAAAGTCTGCTGATAGGTGATGGAAGTAATTAAAGATTTGGCTGTTTTCAGCCATGTTCAAGTTCTTTCACAGTCAGCCTCCCTCATTTCCAGGGTTGTTTTAAGAACCTCCAATACCAAATCCCATAAATGCTATTTTTTTATCTATGTATACATACTTTAAATAAAATTCAAAATACAAATTAGCAGAGTAAGTGGTAAACAACAATAAGCATTCATTATAAACATCAGTTATAACATTATACTATAATGACAAAAGTTTTGGACTATAATTGACAGGAAACTCAACTGATGGAAACAAAACTGCAAATAAGGGAAACTACTGTATTTTCTTGTCACATGCAGTTTTGCATTTTGTTCATTATATTCAAAATTTCCCCACTTTATAGTCATGCCATATCTTATTCCATATTGTCATTCAATTAAAATTATAGTTTTAGCATTATCACCTGCTAGTAACTAGGCTGGGTCTAAAGATAGAGTTTATAATTCATGATATCTCGAAGTCCCTTGTTATAGAGCAGTCCTAGTCTAAGTGCTAGATAATAGGAGTAATCCACAGGTCTTCCAGATAGCATGATCTCTTTCCAATGTGTTCTAAATGTTTGTTTATGCTAATGTTATTAATACATGTAACAAAGAAAGACAGATGATTTATTTTCATGTCTTCTCTCTATCACCATGAGGATGACCTGATTAGTAAATAAAAATAGAGAATACCTATGCAATAATTTACTATACAAACAATTTCATCATTGTTAATCCAAAATTATAATTTAATGGTTTCTCCCATATTCTGTCTGACTCCCTGTCTATCATATTAGTTCCTATGGACCTCATAGAACAGAATCTGGATTTGAAGTTCTATGTAGAAACTTTGTCATTGGATGAAAAGCTTCATAAGAGGTCTGTTAGATTGCATTTTTCTTTGCTGGCTCTGTTGTTTATATATTCCTAACAATTACTATGTTCTAAAGAGGGTGCCTGCCATAAAGGAAAACAGTATTTGCATGCATGCATGCGCACACACATACATTGATGAGAAGTATACACAGACACGTACTGATGAGAAGTATTTTTGGATAAACAATCATTGATCATATCTTTGTTCTATAAAACCATGACATCTGAATATATCAAATATAAATTAGAAAATTAAAAAATGTGACTTGTAAAAATTTATTCATACATTCAAATTTGTTTTTTACACTGTCTGATCTATCTCTATTAGACTATGTGTTGACATAGCCAACGTGTTCTCATTTTAACTATCCTATTTCTCTAGCTTTTTTTGAGACATGTATATGTAGCCAGCATATACTTTCTGTTTTGATGGAGTTATGTGAAGTCCACGTGGATTAAAATGGTAATAGTAATAAACAAGACACAATTTATTTGACAAAGTAGAGACGAGACAGTTCAGTCTAGACGAGATAGCTGTGATTCAGTTCAGAGGCACTTGGCATCTTCTGGTAAGATTTATTGCTTTCTATCAAAAGAAAATTTCAAGCCAGGATGAGAGTAACATGTTGATCATCTGTGTTACTCAGTACATGAAGCTAAGTCATTCCATGTGTGAGGTCAGAAGTGAGGGGCTCAGCACTGGGATGCCTTGTGCCAGGCCTGGCTGTACCTCCCACTTCAAGGACATACAGTGGTCATCACGGAGTTGAGCACAGCTATTTTGATTCAAAAGTTACCCCGAAACCCCAATAATTTTACTCATTCTTACTGCCTTCCACATTGGTAGCAGTCTGTTGGGGGTTCTTTAGAGAACCAGGTTCTCTGAATAATGCATGTGATACAGAAATGTATAACAATGCAAGTGATACATGAACTCTTTATTTTCAAAATTCCAGAAAAAATATGAATATTTAGATAAAGTGCATACTTTGAAGGCTGGAATGATAGCACAGTGGTAGGGTGTTTACCTTGCGTGGCCGGCTTAGACTGAGCTGGGTTCGATTCCTCCGCCCCTTTCGGAGAGCCCAGCAAGCTACCGAGAGTATCTCGCACGCATGGCAAAGCCTGGCAAGCTCCCGTGACGTATTTGATATGCCAAACAAACACAGTAACAACAAGTCTCACAATGGAGATGTTACTGGGCTCTCTCGAGCAAATTGATGAACAACAGGAGGGCAGTGCTACAGTGCTGCATACTCTGTTTGCCAGCTCGGTCTCACTTCGTACCACTCTCTTTCCCTGTAAGTGACAATCATTGTCAATTTGGTATATGTTTTTAGTTGGTATCTAGTCTCCCCACTAAACACTAAAGTACCACGATGTAGCTATGACAGCTGACTTGTTTGCTTCTTTCTCTTGAATGTCATTCATGACCCAAAGAGTTGGAGAGAGACTTAAATCACTTCTTGGGATAGGCAGCTTGAAACTATATTTTTTTTTAAAAATGCCAAAACCAGAGTCTAAACATTCTGATATGCTTTGAAATTTAATCCTACACATGTATCTTTATAACTGTATAGGTGATATCACTGAGGACAATACTTTGAAAGAGCCTAGATTATTAACCTATGGCTTATCTGTCCTGTATTAGACAGACACAGCTGCCAATCCCAGTAGCTGGCTCATAGAAGGTTCTTTATAATTTATTTGGTTACAGAAAAAGAGACAATGAAACCATGCCTCAATGACAGGAAAGTTATTTTTGTGGGCTAATAATTCTTTTGAGATGGTGATTTGAGGAGGACAAAGTCCAGAGTTGGGGAAATTGAGTTCACAGAATGGTAGCTGGTGGCACAAGCATCCATATTGTATCCTTGCCTACTCTCATTGCTTTCTTTTTTTGGTTTCCTGAAGCTGGTTAGGTGATAAGCACTATCATACCTCTGATCTGGTGCAATTACATAGCTTGATTTAGATATCTATTGTTGCAGACTAGGAATATATTTTATTCCGTTTGTATCCAAGACATTGATTACATGAAACCTCAGATATTTTGGGGGAAAAGAGTGCATGATTTCTTATGGTTTTCACGTGTGAATGTAAACCTGTATAAGCAAAAGTACTGAGAAATTCTAAGTCTATCTTCACTTTTTCATCTCCTGCCTAAGTATTGCCACTTTCCTGTATTAAATGTTCCCTGCAGCTGTCATTTTTTATCATATCATGGGAAGTTCTTTGGACAAGCTTACACTTGCTTCTCTTTCATAGCACAGTTTGGCATTATATACTTGGGAACTTCCTATGTAGAAATAATATGAGCTCGTAGAAAGCGAATCCTGGAAAGAAATACAACATAGAAGAATAAGTAGTTAAGCAAATGAATATGCACTGGTAAAATTTACTCTTCAGTTTTGTTTGTTTTGGGGGTTCCCCAGTTGGACTTGTAGTTGGTTGCTAAGATCCAAGGAATTGTGCTGTTGTAGCCCTGAGGGGCCAATAATCAGCAGGGCCACTCTAATGGCACTCAGGGGCCTCTAGGGACACACCCAGTGACAATTACACTTGGGAACCATGTATCACTGGGGATTAGTCATGAACCATGTTCATGCAAAGCAATGGACCATGCTCATCCAAAGCATGTGCCCTTAACCCTGTTCTATCACACGCACACACACACACACACACACACACGCACACCCAACACTCACACACACACACGTGCATGCTCTCTCTCTCTCTCTCTCTCTCTCTCTCTCTCTCTCTCTCTGATTAGAAATGAGCAGAATGGTTCCGTGCATGTTATTTTACCATTATAGCTTCTCTTGGTCCATTTTGAGTCTAATAGGACTTTCAGTTCTGGGTTTTTTCTTTTATTTTGTTTTGGAGCCACATCCAGTGATGCTCTGGGGTTATTCCTGGCTTTGCACTCAGGAATTAATCCTGGAGGTGTTCAGGGCACCATATAGGATGCCCATGGATTAAACCTGGCTTGGGCAAGGGCAACGCAGATGCCATACCCTCTGTATTATCGCTCTGGCCCTCTGGGCTTTGACTTCTGACATAATAATAAGTGTTTCATATGGTGGAAATAAAAAAAACACCTATCAGAATAACCTCTGCTATACACACTGAGTAGATGTGGATTTTCTCCCAGACCATATCTGAGAGTGGTGTAGTCAGGAAAGAAATGATAAAAGTAGTTGATGAACAGTATTGTCTTTTTGTTTAAATCTTAATAGTCATTTCAATCATGTATGTATATTTATGGTGCCAGGGATTAAGCTCAGACCTCACACAAGCAAAGTGTGAATCTACCACTCAGTCTACCACTGAGCCATATACACAGAACTGAAATACTTTCATTCATGTCAATTTTTGTGTGTAAAACATTTTTAACGTACTGCATTGCAGAGCTAAGAAAATGTCTTTTTTGAATTACTATCAATTTGTGTATGGTCATAATATTTCTTGGTGTTTATGAGGAACATAGAAAGGCATTATATAAAAAAAATTAAGAGTCTTTAGTGTAGGATTTCTTTCACATTTCATAATTTTGTTAAAATCCTAGGATTTCCAAATGACC